CGCGGTGGACGTCTTTCGGCATAGTCGAACGCGTCCTTTATTAAACGTCCACGCGACCAGGAATGCGGTTATTGCTTTCGGTCGAAGCAATTTTTCATCGAGGAAGTGTATTAGGTCAGTCTCGAAGGCAGGCCGCATTTTTGACGAAACTTCCAACTTTCGCCGATCGTGCTTTTTCTTCTTCCGAGGGAAGGTTCCGGGCGTCCAATGTCCAATCGTTCCAACTATTCGTTAAACGAGGTATACCCTTTAATTTATTTTATTACAAACGCGTGTCACGTGGCTCTACGTGCACAGAGGAAATAGGTCGTTTGGAAACTTACGGAAAATGCGATTTATCGTTAACAGCCACGAACAGTTACAAAGTTTACGGTCGTGGAATTAATAGAAAATTATGTAAACACGTTAAAGTCGAAATTTTGCAAGAGGTACGAAAGTTCTTGTCGTATCGTTACGACGTTGAATCGAGTTTGATAATTAAAAAATTGTAGAATGTCCTTTGTGGTATTTTACGAAAGGGAGCAAGGAAAACTTGGAAATTTCCCGGACGCTGACCGTTCTTGCAATAAGAAATACGAAACAACAAAGGGACTCGATACTTTATAGTTTCGAACTTGTACCGAAACAGCTGCAACTGCATTGTCGAGACAAACAAATTGTTATCGACAGCTTGGTACGCCAGGACCGTGGTCCGCGACGAATCAAGGATTTGTACCTCGCAGAAGTCGCGTTCGATTTTTGCTGGACGGTCGTTCAGCCATTTGTTTCGAGAAATCAGATGACAAAATATTTCGACGCGTTAACTGCGATGTTTTGCATGCCCAAAGATATCCTCGACGTTTGTCCAAATTATAGAAATTTCTAAGTTCTAAGTTCAAAGTGCCGGTCACCGGTGACCACCGATGGCAATCGAACTGCAAAACGACTGACTTCTCGAGTTCCTGCTTTTGCTGTCAATGTCGCGTCCGCTGGAGTCGCTCTTGACAGCGACTTTCGAAAGCAAACGTCTCGACGTCGGAGTGTTTTCGATGTAGGATGCGAGATAATCCAGCGTACTCGTTAGCCGAATGCGAGGAAATCGTTATTGAATTAAATGCGAGCGGAAGCCATGTAATTTTCCAGGTTGATGAGCAGCTACCGTGCACGCCCGTCGTCGCTATCTATACGCGTAAAGCAGACGAATTGGACGCGGAGTTGAATTTCGTTCCTTACACCAGATAGTCAAAGGGTGTTTACAATTTGCTTACGTCCGTTTGTACAACGTCGATGCTCGTAAGAACCTATTCCACGGCTCGACGTGGTCCGCGCGCATCGCTCCGGGCACCAGGTGTGAAATTCCTCGACGATCCCGCCTCGTCCAGTCCCGTTCGAGGCATTCGACTTTTCCAGACGAGGCAACAGCCATTTCCTGGAGGACGACAGCGTCCAAACGCGACAGAGACACCAAGGGAAAAAATAAAACTGCGCTTGGCCTCCTCGGTCGCCAGAGCCTACGCTTAATCTCTGAAAGCGGATTGAACACGCCGCGTGGATCAATAAATTACTGGTCACTTTGAAACATGTTTAAAGGGGATGACCGTAGTACGCGCTTATATCTGAATCGTACGATATATAGCCGGTTATTGTTAAAGTTGGAATCGATTTTGCTGGGAATACGACGGAGCACTCTTTTGTTTCGGTCGCTTCGATTGTCTCTCGACTCTGCGCGAACTGTCCAATTCACGTCGTTTATTGTAATTTCGTAATTCCTTTAATAACGGGTCCGCTGCAAGATCAACCCGGGGTACAAATTTTCGTTTAAATTCAAAAAACGGTAAAGAGGACCGAGATCTAAAGAGGTTCAGGCAGGCAATTTAGCAATCGATGGATTAATCGCGGAGAAATACGAAGAATCGTACCGGAAATATGTAACGAAACTGGCGAAGTACCATGACCGCCGCGACATCCAGATTGAAAGACTGGAACGACATCCGTAAACCAATAAATCATTGCAGCCACGACGTACGGAGCTTTTCAAGGATTTTCCAGCGAAAAGGAAGAGATAGGGTAAAGAGAATTTAAGGAAGAAGCATTAGATTTGGAGATAGGATATATAGGATGGTTCCAAGCCGCAGGAACTTATTGCACCCGGTGCAAGAAAAGTGCTAGCAATTTTTCTATTACGCTCCGAGATAAAAATTACTCGAAACTCGGAGAACGTTGGGCGAACGGGAACCGCTCGACACGAAGTTAGTCCCGATCAGGATGCCTTTGGCTGATCCAGGACTATTCCGGTCGTCTGAAAACCCAAACAAGCCGAACTGGACCCAGTTTCCGTTCGTCGTGTCGCTTCCATCCGCGACGCGAAAAGTCCAAACGCGACGAAACAATTTCAGACAGGATCGTTGAAAGACAATCGTGTTCCGTCGCTTTTCGCCATGCTTATCACGGTCCACATAATTCCGAGACTTATAGCGGAGCATTATACCACTAACATGGATTTGCACTTCGCCATTCCGGGACGTGATTCCAGTAGTATACGTCCTAGAACCAAAGTCTGGCGGGCATCCGTGGAACACCGAGAATCCATACGCACATACGAGCCCGATGTTACATATATCACGTCCATTTTTCCGCTTCTTTCCCGATACGCGGAAAAGAACAGACGCGATAGAGAAAGAGTCGAACGAATCAAAAATGGGGGATCGATTGCAACCGCGTGGCAATTCAATTTTTGAAATTTCGACGGCCCCGACGCGTTCTTCTTTGTATCGAGAGAACAGCGGGCTCCTTTTTCGCGCGAAGGATCGAAAAAGGGAGCGCGAGGAAAACGGTTCCGGAAGTGAAGCGTTTTCAATTTCTTCCTTTGGGCGGTATCCCGTAATTATCGATTCGATTAGAGATTCTATATTCGGCGGAGGACGGCGTGTCTCGCGTAAAGTGCGCAACTCCTGGCAGAATGTAAGGAAATTACGTAATTTCCGGCTTCCCAGCCGGCCAGGAATCGGGCCTCGTTTCACGGTTTTGCGTAAGGATTTCTGCCGTTCGTAAGATGCGTTTGACAGGCTCCGTCCAGGTGCTCAAAGCCACCCACACGCCGTTTAATTCCACGGTCCACCTTTGCGCGAAGGAACCGTTGCACGCGTTGCTTCCCTCGAATGATAAATAATCAACGTGGCAAAGTTCGCCGATAAATGATCAGGTTAATACCGTCGACTCGGCCGTATTTGCCACGGCACGAATCATTTCCTTGCGCGAGTCCGCCGATGAATTTCCGTTTCCAAGTATCATGTACGGCTCACCTTTGAAAGCCATCGATTTATCGTCGGATCACTCGTGATTCATCCAACAACGCGAGATAAAGCTGAGCTATGTCGCGCCATTAGCTCTATGTATCCAATAGCGTTTCCATGCCCGAGCACCGATTCCAGACACTCGTAAAATTTTGATGATAATGTCGCGGCGATATGACTCGAAACAGTGAACGTACCAGACCGTACGGAACGTCCGTTGTTTTCGAACGTCTCTTAAAATTTGGTTCTCGTAAGGATTTTTTTACTCTATGCGCTGTAAATCCGGTTGTAAATTCGATAAAGAGATCGCGGCGCGTGTAAGGGAGTCTTTGAAATTGTTAGCGAGTTCTCCGGTAGGGAATATATCCCGGCTGTATCAAGATATTTACGCGTTCCTTTCGCTCGACGATGTTTTACGCGTTCGCGCGCGATACGAATGTCAACTAGGTTCCGGTGGGAAACTTGAAAAAAAAATATCACGCCAACTTCAGACCGGGTCTCCATATCTCCCGTTAGTTTTCTATTCGGAATAACGTTGACCCAGATTTACATTTTTCCACAAAGCGCTCTCGGTTAAAAACGTTCGCATGTACGCGACAGCTCGCCCCGGGAGGAGTTGCGTTTACTTAATGGATCTTAAGGCGACGTACGTGTACGCGCGAACCGTCTTTTATCGCCGCGATACGCGGAGGAAACTCCGTGGCCCCCGGGTGTTATTAGATATCGAGATGAGAGAAACAACAACTCTTTTATCGATTCGCGGAATACGCGACCGTGTATAACCGCGTGTTCGAACGAGGTATAATGGGTACCAGCATCGTATTTACGTGCGACATTTTACGAGGGACGCTTTAAGGCTAAAGCGTTTACGATGGCGGGGAAATTTCTCATCTTATCCTACGGTAAACGGGGATGCAACGTACTGCCGAAATTCTCATCATCTTTCGACGACCCATATTCACTTTTTGCAACTTCCTACTAGCAAAGTTCTCCCGGGGCATCCAATGAAGGGAGGGGGGTGGGGTGATATTAGGTGGTTATTGTCTCGGAAGAATCCAAAGTCACAGCGATTATGTTGCAATTAGTAGCAAAGGGAAGTAAGTTTCGCGAGTCAGCGTGTATCGGTAACAGGGTCAAACATCTGTATTGTTTTGGCGCCCGATTCGATGATTAAACACTTTTCGTAGTCGAAAAAGCACGGGGAGGCTCAGGAGCACAGCAAGTAGGCACGCACAATGGCTAAAGAGTGTACGAAACAGAAATAGGCAAGTATAGAGGGCTATTTGTGTATGGAGCGAGCGAGAGAAAGAGAGAGAGAGAGAGAGAGAGAGAGAGAAAGTCAGGGATAATGGAGGGAAATAGTTGGTTGCGAGGGGGTGAGTGGGAGAGAGGAAGAAAAAGACACAGGTATAGACATAGAGATAGGAACGTGTGGTACGCGTATGCCCCGCCCTCTTCCCAACTCGACTCGTCGCTCTCCCTCTCCCTTTTCCTCTCAAAGGGCCGAGGGTAGGGTTCCGTTGGTCGTGTATCCTCTTCGACCCTCCGTCGGTGTGCGCCAACCCTTCTCCCCGATCTCCGCGTGCGCTGGCGAGCTTCCCTCATACCACTTTCGATGGATCGATGGTGATTCGGTAACCCTCCGCGTAGCGGCGCCACTCGCGCAGCCACGACACAGCCGCTCAGTTGGACCTCGGGTTCACTCAGTCCACGACCGTTTGCCACGAGACTTCGATCTCATCGGTCTCTCCCTGTCTTTCTCTACCTCTCCACCCTTCTTTTTCCCGCTTGGAGGACGGAAACCAGCTACCACCACCACCGGCACCCACCACCACCACCACCACCGCCGCCAGCACTACCACCACCGCCGTCGTCGCTGTCTCCGCCACCGACGACCGGGGAGACACACGTAGTCTAAACGTGAGACTCGTACGAACGTCGTCGTCGTCGTTGTCCTCGCCGGTAGTCGACGTACGCTGTTTTGTCGAGCCAGCCCTTCCTCGGTTCTACTCCGTACGGCATCCGTTCGACGTAAAAACCAGCCGCAGATCGAGGTGAGTCGACAGTACCAGACACGACGCGTTCGTTGCAATTTATACACTGCCATTTACGAAAAAAAATACTCGTCAATGTCACCGCGATACGTTTATTGCGTCTGTCGTGCACGCTGCACGCTCCCCCTCGCCCTCGAGGCCGCACGGAACGCTCGTCTCCTCGCTCGAGTCAACAACCCGCGATGTTTTCCTCGCGGTGGTTCCCTCTCGCCGTGGCCGTGGCGGTCGATCACGTTGCGAGAACGTCGCGTCTCTCCTCCCGAATATTTCGAACGCGTTGAAATCGCGAGGCAGCGGGACACGCGCCTACGTTCACGCTGCATCGCTCGTGCCTCGTCGCTCTTGGTCGATCGCGACGCGGACGCGTATTTTCCTGCTCTCTCTTTTTCGTGACTGCCATACGTGTGTCGCGGCTCGATAAAACGCAAGGGTTAGGCCGCTGCAGGTCTCCGTCATCGATCTCGAACGCGGTTTAGCTTTCCCGAGCATCCTCGTCGCGATTTCGGCGGCCGTGCATGCGATGCCCGTCGTCAAAGTCTCCTACGAGACGTTTTACAACCCCCGTCTTTTCTATCTTGTTCTGCTCCCCCGATTTCAAATCGTCGATTAATATACAAGGTTTTTAAAGTAAAACGTTACTCGACGAGAAACTATCCGTTAAGTATCGCGAGACGTACGCAAATATTTGCTAGCGCAGAATGTTCTCCCTGCAGAATATTGCATCACGTTGAGCAAACGAAACGCTCGGAATTACATTTATTTTTATCGCGTCGACATCGTTCTCCGTAAAACTGGTTCCATTAGAGTAATATATCTCCGTGATGTTTTTCGATCGAGCGCCGGTTAAAAGGGAACTGGTTACGCGATGTACGCGCTTTGATGGTCCAAGGTTCGTTTCCCGAAGTGCACGCGTTTTTTTCCGTACGATTTCGCGCCGGTGGACGTCTGTAGGTTAGGAAGGTCGGAGAAAGATGGACGAAGGTCAACGAACTCGGCGTCGTTCCTATGCCTTGCTTTCCTTACGAAATTATTTTTACGATACCTCGAAGCAGGGAACGTTTTTCAATTAATCATCCAAGGACTTTTAGGACAGTTATTTCTCGTCCGCGTATTAATTCGCGCGGTGGATCTTCGTTTATCTTGTATCGCGATAATACAGTTCGCGACGGGTGTACTGTTCGTGGATATTTCCGCGGAGAGGAACTGCCAGTAGACGCTAATTCCCTTCCCCCGGAGTTTGATAGAAATTTAAAGCTCCGAAAGTTTTGCGCGCGAATCCAGTTGCGAGCCAGTGATCTTCGAGTCCATTACGATACCGAGGATTTGAAATTTCTTACCCGCTCGAGGAGGCAATCGCAACTTGGATTAAGTCCGCGTTCGAGGCTTTAGACTCTGCCTAAAATCTTGGAATAGAAACTCGTTTTTTCCCCCATTTTAACAGCAATTTCAGTCTGCAAAAATTGGCGTTGGTTTCTGGAGAAGATTGATCTCTTGGTTATCGTGGATCTGAGTTAGGTTTGGGTTAGAATTGGATTAGCGTCGAGAGGCTTTAGACTCTGCCTAAAAACGTGGGACCCTTGGAATAGAAACTCATTTTTCCCCCCATTTTAACAGCAATTTCAGTCTGCAAAAATTGGCGTTGGTTTCTAGAGAACATTGATACGTTCTAGGCGGGAAAAAGTCATGTTTGCTGAATTTGTAAATTAGTTTCGTTCTGATATCTCTTCTGATAGCTCTTGGTTATCGTGGATCTGAGTTAGGTTTGGGTTAGAATTGGGTTAGCGTCGAGAGGCTTTAGACTCTGCCTGCAATCTTGGGACAATCGGAATAGAAACTCATTTTTCCCCCCATTCTAACAGCAGTTTCAACCCGCAAAAATTGGCGTTGATTTCTGGAGAAAATTAATTTTCTTTCCGCTTAATTTGTCGATTAGTTAGATCCTTTTGAGCTATTTTCTCGAGTTCGTTTCGCGGTGGCTGTCGATGGAGCCGCGCCATTGTTGGCACGCTTTCTTGGTCGTGTTTAATGCACCGAAATAGGGTGTCCCAACCTTCGAGTTTGGTTCAAGGCTTCATCGATCGGTTCTGGTTTTCCTTAGTTCGTCGAAACGTTTGACGCGTCGTTGACACGGCCATTTGCCAGCTCTGTCTCTGCACACCGAGCCCCCAGGTTCCTCTTCGACCATTCAGCTTGATAAATGCTCGCTGCACGGTCTCGTAATTAATGGCGGAGGTGATACGTCGCTGTCTGATTATGCGAATAGGCTTAACCTTGGCGCAATGAATCACGGACGTCTGCCGTGCGCGGTGCGCGCCTCTTACCGTAACGATCGTTAAACGTATTTCGTGGCATCGATATCTCGTTGCCCACGGAATCACAAATCACTGAAAGTTATCGTTGCTCCTCCGCCAGCGAAAGCATCTTTAATTGCTTACTTAAACAAGGATATTGTGGATTCGGAAACGAAATAACCGATCCACGAATAGCAGGATAGAGGCAAGAGTTTCGTTTGTATTTTAGCGCAAATACTCGGAAACGAGGTCATACGGATACAGATTTAACCACGATACTCGGGCTCGTGCTCCCCCAAACTCCTTCATTATGGAATGCTTTTTATTGTTACCTAGTTAGGCGAGTTTTATAATTAATACCGTGTTCCAGCTTTGGAATTCAAATAAAAATAACAATACGGCCATGGGGATTATAAAATTGGTTGGAAATTGAAACCGTGCTGGATGTTTGACACGATAAATTTTATCCCTCGAAGGATAGACGGATATATTTTTTTTTATCGTTAACAATTCTTCGATCCGCGAGGCGTACACGATAAAGATTACTATACTAAACGTCAACCTATTTGAACGCTTTTAAGTTCCACGATATAGGACTGTAAAAGGGCAGAGAAAGCAACCCGACAATCAACTGTAACCGTATCCTACTCGTTTTCACTGTTTCCTGTCCGTTCCTCGTTCGCTCGTGCAGTTTCGTACCAGCTTTAACAGTTTCGCAAACTCTCATATTGTTTCTCTCAAATTCTCCCCGATATGAACGTAACACGACAGATATTGCCAATCAAACGTAGGCAAAGCTCGTCGAGGTCCTCGATCTATCCGATCGTATCGACCTAGGCTGAAAGTTTATTCTTTTAATTTAAAAATTAAAACACTTTCGCGCTTTCTTCGTTTCGATCGTCGAGTGTATCGTGGAACATGGTTTTGGAAACGTCAAACTGGAAGATATCCTTGTTTCGCATTCCTGTAGCACGTATCGAAATTGAGACGTCCTTTCTAGGGAGAAGCTCGCCGTTCTGCTCGACCGCATTACCATTTTTCGGCAATCGAACCGAATCGATAGTCCGTTCGCTGCCCCGGCGCCGCGACGTGTCGTTCCTCGGCGTCGAATCGAAGCCCGTTGATTCGGATACATAAATCGCGTGCAAAGCAACGTTGCTCCTTTTTTCTCTCAGCTCCATTCTAATGGCGATCGTAATCCACACGGACGAAACGAGTTCCAAATATATCCCTGGCGACCCGTGTAGCGACGATGGCCTAAATTCTAACGTCCATCGGGAACAATGGCGCTTCTGACTTGTTATCTGCTCCTGTAATAATAGAATAAGATCACCGGGGAACGAAGATTCGCGCAGGTATAGTCGAGAATATTTATTTAGGGGCGAAAAGGAACTCGTTTAGAAAAATGATCGTCGAAATTGAAAAAGATTCTTTGATCTCGAAAGGTACATTAATCGTTTGCACTCCAATGGAATACATAATATCGCAATTGGATTTAAGATTTAAGAAGAACGAAGAAATTCTAAATTACAAATATTTATAAATTTCTCCGGAGAAAAAGGATAATTTTAATATTCTTTAAAATGGCATCGGAAAATTGCATTTAAATATCCAGTTAGTTTTATTGAAATTAGTTCTCGGAGCGCAAAGGATTAAAAGAGTCAAGAGATACGGAAGTACTATTATTCATTTATTAAAGGGGAAGATTCTTTGGTACATAAAGAAGTAGTATGCAAAGAGAAAGAAATTAAAATTCAAATAGTATTTATTAGCAGTAGTACTAAAGCGTGGGTGATTTTTCACCGAGGAGTTAAAATAATTGTGAAGATTGTTGAAAAATAATGGCTCTCGAATTTGAACGAGGCTCTGAATATAACTGATACGCTAGTTTTCCGATTGTCTAAAACCAAAGTTTCGTTTTCGTGTATAAAAACGTGCACTTGATGAAGCCGTCTGCGATCAATCGGTCCATAAATAATTTCGAGGGAGAAATTTGAGTCGGAAATAGTCCTCAGCAATGATTACTTTAACGCGAGATACGATGACCCAGTTGTTGTCGAGGGGGTAGGGGGTTGCCCTTAATGCGCGACCGAATATTGCTCGAAATAGAAGACCTCGATGGGAGCGGTGTGATACTTTCTATAACGGGCAGTGAAATCGAATCGGTCTGCGGGACGGCCCTTTAAACCTACAACCTTTTAACCCAGTCGCGAGGAGTTGCGTGCCAGAATCCTGGAACGAGATCGAGCATCGTTATTTACGAAATTGTAAGGATGTCAGGGATGATTATAGGCGTGTGGTCAGACTCAATGATTCGGATTACATTATTTAATATTACGATAAACTATTCGACACAAAGTACATAAAAGACACAAGCCTAAAAATCCACCGACGATAACGTTTCCTTCTCGTGTCAATGTTCCTCGATCAAGACACACATATAAATTAAGGAACGATCGTCGTGCAAGTAGTAAGGATCAAGGTATCGGCCGGCCGGTAGCCGGACAACGGAAGAGACATTTTAAAAGGCGAGCAACGGAAAAGTCGTTAAATGGCACAATTCGTTCCCCCTTCTGGGAAAGAGAAACGGTTATAATAACGTAACGGGGGGGAACACGGAAGCGGCGGCGCGTGGAAAAATGAATTAGGGGCCATCAATTCGAAACGGAATTATACCGTTTATCCAGGGAAACGACTTGCTAAAAGTGA